AAGTTTTTACTGCCTCCAAGAATGGAGATCCCTCAGGGGGCTTTTCCGGTCCCCCGATTGAGTGTTTGACCACATTCATCCTGAATTTTTCCCACCTGATATCTAATCAGAATTTCCTATGTTGCAGCTTGTCTCTGTTGCCTCCTATCTCCTGTCACCATACATCTCTGAGAAAAGTCTGTCTCTGTCTTTTCTGTACCCTCCCATAAGGTAGTTGTAGGCAGCAGTAAGTGTCTTCCCTAATGTTCTTAAGGCTGAATGACCCTTTTTCCCTTAGCCTCTCTTCATCTTGTTGGCCTCTGCTGGACTCACTCCAGTCTCACTGTCTGTCTTGTACTGGGGAGCCCAGAGGTGGACATCATACTCCAAGTTTAGACTCAAAAGTGTTGGAAGAGAAAGGAGCAATCCCGTCCTTTAACCTACGCTCTTACTAATGCAGTTCCAGCTATACTCTTACCAATATAGCTCAGGAGGTGACCTGCTTCTGACTCCTGCTCAACTTGTTGCCCAGGAGGACCTCCTGCGTCTTCTTCTGCAGATCTGCTTTTTCTCCAGTCAGCCCCAGCCTGTCCTGTTTTCTGGGAATATTACAGCTTGGTGGAAGGGCTCTTCAGTTGCTTTTGTTGAGCTTCGTGAGGTTTATGCTGGATCATTTCTCCAGCCTGTTGAGGTTCTTCTGAATAGCAGTATGCCCTCCAGCGTATTGTCCACTCTCCCGTTTGATAACATCTGTGAGCCCGCTGAGAGAGCACGCCATCCCATGGGCCAGGTTGTTACTAAAGACACTAAACTGTATTGGCCCTACCATCAATCCCTGAGGGACAACACTTGGACTTTGAGCTGCTGATCACAACCCTTCGATCCTGACAGTCCAGCCAATTTTCCACCCACCTTGTAGTCCTCTCAAAAGTCATATGCTTGTCCATGGGCTGGATGCAGCTCCACGAGTTGTCATGGCAAAGCCGGGCCACCTTTGGCTGTCAGTGATCCTGGGTGGCAGAGGAGGACTCTAGTGGGCTGCAGACTCAAGGAGGTTGACCTCATTCTAGTGTAAGGGTAGAAACAAGCTTTCATCGAGCTAAGCAGAACAAGCGTGAAGTGAGAAACGAGTTTGAGTGAGGAACAGTATTTGGGCAATGTGACGGAGTGAGAGAAATGCTTATGGAATTTTTTTCTCAGTCAGGTATTCAACATCACTTGTATACACAATTTTTCATAGATTTTTTCATAGAAAATTTCATAGAATTTTTCATAGAATCATCGGTTGGAAGATCATTGAGTCCAACCATTGAGTTGGTTGGGTTCTGGAGAGGGTACTTGGAGACAAGGTCCAAACTGCCATGATGTTAATTAAACCGTATTAGCTATCTGCCAGGGTGTTAATTAAACCTTATGGGCTACTTATTTAGCAAAATATTCAGGATTGTTTCTAAGCATTTGATTTTGGAGCTGTGCTGTTTTCAAAAGTAATTATTTGTGGCCTACATTGACTCCGCAAATTGGTTTAAATTACCATTTCAGGCTGATGTGGTACCGTTACATTGCAGCTCTTGGTTAGAATAGTTCTAACGTTAAACTCGGAGAATTTGCTGTGCTCTTGTTTCTGTGCAGGCTGTAGTGCGTTTCAGTGCCAGGCAGGAGGGACTGCTGCGGGGCTGAGAGGTGGGACGTGTACGAGAACTGGGCATACTGGTGTGGGTACCAGCCACCTTCCAGCTGGGGACAGAAGGCATTGCTGGGAGCACGCATGGGGCAAGGCGGCACCTTCCAGATTGATTCCTGAAATATTCGCTTAAAAGATAAATTAAGCTCAGCTGATCCATCTCGCCATGCTCCTGCCTCGCTGCCGGATCTCCCCCGTGGCGGATGGAGGGATGTGTGACACGCAACATTGCAGAGCTGTGCCCGGGGACAGCCTGCCTGCAGCTGAGCGTCGTCTCCGGCCTCAACTCCCTGAGCCATCCTAGGCTGCCGCTGCTTAAATATCTCTTTTCTGTCATGCCAAGCGTAAATAAAAAAGGAAACCGTACACTTTTTTCCCGTCTCTCACATCTGGAACTGTCGCAGCGTAGGTGAGACTGAAGCTGTCCTTTGCGCAGTATTTCTCAGGTGCTCCTGGCTGCAGCTCCATCCCGTTGCAAGGCTGTTCCCCAGCTGTAATGCGAAGTGTTCAGTGTTCATTCCTGTCTCTCTGGCTGGTAAGAAGAACTAGTTACAGACTAAACTGAAGCATCGTTATAGTAAAACTCTGTTTCTAAAACCAAAGTGAGTCTTGAAAACAAACTCCATCGTAGCAACACAGGGAGAAGCAAAGAGAAGAGGAGCTGCTTTTTAGAAAATCAAATTTTTGGGAGAGATGTCTGAAACACTTAGACTTTCTCCTGAACCTTTCCACAGACACAAAACCTTGCAGAGGAGGGGACTGGGGAGGGAAGTTACTTCTAACTACAAGAGGTGGTGAAATGCAGAGTCAGAGCTGGGATTTATTGAAATGCAGTAACGTTTTGTAGCATGTTAAGGATGTAGCTGAGCAGGGAAAAAAAATCCTTTGTCTTTTTAATTCTAATATTTTTCCCCCCACAGGTATAGCCTTTACAGACCTCCCTGTAAGTACACCTATTTTCAGTATTTTAACTGAGGATGCAAAGAGAAGGGAGGGGGGAAGAGCGAGGGGGTGTGATTTTTCTTTTTCTTTCTGTTTGATGCCCTGTTAAAAAAAATGGTAACGCATATTACTGAATGATGGGGATGCTCCTTTTTGTGAAACTCCATAATCCTGTGGCTGGGTTTGTGGGCTGCTCACGTGCCTCCTCTCATCTCTCACTGCCTCTAACAATATGTTGCTCCTCCTGGAATTAAAGCAAGGATTCAAACTTCGTTACAGGTCACTGTCTTCCAAACGCAGCTTCAACTGTGGGGAGTGTATGTGCAAAGTCATTGAGTAGCCTCGCATGTCCCATCATCAGAGAGCCCCCAAAATGCCTCATGTTGTTATTCTCAGCTCTCATCCAAGTTTTGCAGCTGCAGTGGAGTTGCTGAAGGAACATACTTGGCATCACGTGGGGCTGATAGTTACTCCTCTGATTCACGAACCCCTATATTGAGTTGCTCTGGAGTGCAGCGACACCAGCTGAGTTACACCGGGCGATAACGTCTAGTTGGGTCTTAGAAAAGCACGACTTTCCCAGTGGGTCATGAACAAATAAACGATTGCTCTTTTTCAGACCCAGGTGTTCCTGGAGAAGGAGCAGGTGTTTAGGAAAAGAAGATAAAACCAGGTCAGGCATACAGCAATACATCACTGCATCTGTTTCTTTTGGACACAGAACTTCTCGTCCCTGAGCGTTGCACTGTCGTCTCTGTACTTAATAACCCCAAATTAATTTAATCTCAGGAATTTCTTAGTTTTCATGACTTGTTCAGGCTTCCAAAGTAACGGATTTTCTTGGCTGACTTCTGCGTTGTGTGGAAGAAAGCTTGCTTTTCTTTGTTTTGCACCTCCTGCCAAAAATTTCGTTTTGTTCCGCTAATTTTTATGTTGTGAGAAATAACAACTAGCACTCCCTGTTCACCTTCCCAATGGGATTTATGGCTTTACAGATCTCTCCCATATCCCAACCAATGCCTGTGCTGAAGGATGTTCCAGTTATTTGATTTGCCTTTTCACGTCAGCTGTCAATACAGCTTTTGTTTTTTTCTTCCTAGGCTCTTTGAACTTAGTAACATTGCAGTGTAGTCTAAGCCAGAAACACTTTTATGTGGCTTGTTTCACACTGGTTTATTCATTGGTCCAAGTACAGTTTATTAAAGTAAAAGAATATTTTACCTGTCCACGAGCAGCTAACATAGGAAAGACATGGACCTGTTGGAGTGGGGCCAGAGGAGGTCCGGGAGATGCTGGGAGGGCTGGAGCCCCTCTGCTGGGAGGACAGGCTGGGAGAGTTGGGGGGGTTCAGCCTGGAGAAGAGAAGGAGAAAAAGGGGAGACCTTAGAGCCCCTTCCAGTGCCTAAAGGGGCTCCAGGAGAGCTGGAGAGGGACTTTTTCCAAGGGCATGTAGTGATAGAACGAGGGGGAATGGCTTCAAACTGGAAGAAGGTAGATATTGATGAGATATTAGGAATAAATTTTTCACTCTGAGGGTGGTGAGCCCCTGGTGCAAGTTGCCCCAAGAAGCTGTGGCTGCCCCATCCCTGGAGGTGTTCAAGGCCAGGTTGGACGGGGCTTGGAGCAACCTGGGCTGGTGGGAGGTGTCCCTGCCCAGGGCAGAGGGGTTGGAACGACATGATCTTTAAAGTCCCTTCCAACCCAAACCATTCTATGATTCTGTGATTCATTCTATCAATATTAACCTTTGGAGTGAGGTCTTGTGACAACCTTGCACCCATAGCAAGAAGATGCTTCTGTGATATACCCCCTAGTTTTAGGTGATCTTTGTTTTCCCTCTGGGTATAGATTGCATTAGGAGTCACAGTTTTATCATATTCCTTCTAAATTTTTCACCACTTTGTGTTCTCACTTGGCTAGACCGCTTCTCTTTCTCAGCTGAGAGCAGTCTTCATGTTGGGATAGATAGATAATCATAGAATCATGGAATGGTTTAGGTTGGAAGGGACCTTGACGATCATCCAGTTCCACCCCCCTGCCCTGGGCAGGGACACCTCCCACCAGCCCAGGTTGCTCCAAGCCCCATCCAACCTGGCCTTGAACACCTCCAGGGATGGGGCAGCCACAGCTTCTTGGAGCAACCTGGACCAGTGTCCCACCACCCTCACAGGGAAAAATTTCTTCCTAATATCTAATCTAAATCTCCCCTCTTCCAGTTTGAAGCCATTCCCCCTCGTCCTATCATGACATGCCTTTGTAAGAAGTGCCTCTCCAGCTTTCTTGTAGGCCTTCTTCAGATACTGGAAAGCTGCTATAAGGTCTCCCCAGAGTCTTCTCTTCTCCAGGGTGAACACCCCCAACTCTCTCTGCCTGTCTTCATAGGAGAGGTTCTCCAGCCCTCTTGATCGTCCTTGTGGCTTCCTCCAGACCCACTCCAACAGGTCCATGTTCTTCTTGTGTTGGGGGCTCCAGAGCTGGATGCAATATTCCAGGTGGGGTCTCATGAGAGTGGAATAGAGGGGCAGGATCACCTCCCTCGCCCTGCTGGCCACGCTGCTGGGGATGCAGCCCAGGATACAGTTGGTCTTCGGGGCTGCCAGTGCACATTGCTGGGCCCTGTGGAGCTTCTCATCCACCAACACCCCCACGTCCCTCTGCTCAGGGCTGCTCTCCAGCCATTCTCCCCCCAGCCTGGATTTGTGCATGGGATTGCCCCGACCCACGTGCAGGACCTTGCACTTGGCCTTGTTGAACTTCATGAGGTTCGCACAGACCCACCTCTCCAGCCTGTCCAGGTCCCTCTGGATGGCATCCTGTTCCTCCAGTGTGTCAGCCACTCCACACAGCTTTACTATTTAGGCTCTCACCAATCAAAACCAGCTATCAAACACACCACAACACACATACCCTTGTTTTGACGTTTGCAGCTAAAGTGTTGCCACAGGGCTTCGCAGCACAGATTTGGCAGGCTGAAATTCCCTCTCCTGCTTAGCGTAACTTGCATCTGTTTGATCCAGGAGTGCACTGGGAGCTGATGTGTACATTTAATGTGCACTTGTGGGCTGTTCACCCCGGTGTTGAGTCTCTGTTACAAACAGGGGATGACCAGTTGGGGAACCAGAGGCAGACTGAAGGGCTCGTGTAGCAGTGAGGTCTTGCAGTGCCGCTGAGATTGAACTCGAAACCTTCCTTTGCCCAGAACACCCCCCCCATCCTGCTATTTCTTGATCTCACCAGGTCGTCCTTACAGGATCTCCTGCTTGATTGTGTGACCTGCGCAGAGGAGATGTTGTTTTAGTGTTAAACTGGAGGAAGATCTAGTCAGGTGTTTTTTGGGATCAGCTATTCAAATGCCTTGTGGTGGAGTCTCCAATGGTTAAATGGTATTTCTGTGCCTTTTACCAGCCAGAGTTTGAAGAGTTGTTTTCCCTGGAAATCTGTCTCTGGCTTTTACAGCAGCAACTAAACTGTGACACTGTTTTTCTGGGCCAGGAAGGAGAATGGTGGATGCTCTATAGGCCTCCTGCTATTGAGAATTATCCTCCATGAGATAATTTCTGTTTAAAAAGAGGGTGAGAGAAGCTTGACTGGGTCACTTCACCTCCTAACTGCAGATTCGAGCAAGGACAGCAGAATTCTGCCTCCCTGTGAATTTTGGATGTTCTTCTTCATGTGCTAAATGACGCAGCTGCTGTGTTGGCACCTTCATCCTAAGGATACCCGCACCCAACTTCCATCTTTCCCATCCTCCTTTTCCCATATTCTTCCGTTGAATTACTGCCTTCTTCCCTCACCCTTCCAGACATCTGTGTATTCCATGTCCTTTTCTGTCCGTTTTTGCTCCCTCAGTCCGTGGCTTCTTGCTCGTTCTTCCAAACAGTTGAGGTTACTGCCCTTTCCTCAAG